TTTTTTGGTCAGTCATGAGGCTTGAACTCTGGGCTTAGGCGCTATCCCTGAGCTCTTCAGCTCAAGGCAAGTGCTCTACTGCTTGAGCCACAGTGCCACTTCTGGTTTTCTAGTGGTTTATTGGAGATAAGAGTCTCACCGACTTTCCTTGCCTGGGCTGGCTTTGAACCGTGATCCTCAGATCCCACCCTTCTGAGTAGCTAGGATTACAGGCATGAGCCAGTGGCACCCAGCTTCAATTAATTATTTAAGCATACTATGTATGCGAACAATTTTTTTTACTGTTAACTGTTTTTCCTTAGGTTGGTGTTACTATAGACCTCAGCAGTTTCAACATTACCAGGATTGTGACATTTACACCATTTTATATGATTAAAAACAAAAGCAAATACCGTGTATCAGTGGCTGAAGAGGGAAGTGATAAATGGCTCTCTCTTGATTTAGAAGAGGTAAGTTAATGAGTCTGAAAAATGTACTTGACTGGACTTTAGCTAATTCTAAAACTGGATCTTGCTCTCTAGAGATGCATAGCTTGATCCTTAAGCAGACACTTAACCAGTCATTTTGGTTAAAGTAATGCAAACAGTGGGAGAAATAAGATACAAACTCATCAAACGGGAGAAAAGGATTTATCCAGAAAGCTGTCAGAAAAAACTTTACAGAGTAGATTAAGCCAAACTTTCCTTCAGGTTATTGAAGGAACATGATATGAATAACAGAGATGATTCTATACCATTATTAGCTGTCAGACTCTGGATAAGAGTTTTCAGAATGATGATATAAAGTTATTAGATTATGTATTTTTGAAGAACATTCTAAGTGGTAATATTACAAGAGAAATATTCAGTACTTTTCCATTATTCCTCCTACATAAGACCATTTCAGTGGGAACATTGTTCTTGAAGACAGAAATTTCTTGAGGATCGATTTTGAAGATAAATGCCATCAATTTATGTTTATCATTATCATTATGACAGTTTTCTTGATACTAACTTTAGGTTCATGTTTTTCCTCAATGTGTTTCTCACTGTCTTCCATTTTTGTTGAAAATTATGCTGATTCTTTTCATTTCTTTGGAGTGTTTTTTTTTCCTTGTTGAATTCAAGGTATTTCTTCTTTTTGTCCTTGATATTCTGTAATTACTATTTGTGTTCGGGGGAAGTGGGAAGTTACTGCTTGAGCTATTTCTAGATCTGTGGATTAATGTTTTCATTATTTGCATAAAACTTGGAACTCGTGTCTCTGTACATATTGCCTCTCCTTCTTCCTAAGGCAAATCCTTTGTATTGCCCATAGTTTGCCTGACAGTAGCACAGGGTTTTGATGAAAGAACTTGACTTCTCATCAGTGTGGGTGTCAGGGAACTAAGCAGTGAGAAAGGTAAGCTAAGTAGGGAGACCTACAGAGGGAAATATTGGACATGATTGAGGGATAGCAAAAGAAATCCATGTTCTAAAAAGTAGTGGAGGACAAAGCATAGGGTCATGAAGGATAATCATGCAGATATCTGTAAACCATTTAATCATTATTCTGAGTGATTAAACATAGTAGGTTCTCGGTAAACATTTGCTTGGATGAATATGATTTATTTTTGTAAACGTTTCATTAATTGGTGTTACTAGTTGGTTGGCTATCTAGATATCTAAATACTAAGTTTGTTACACTCACTTTCCTTTGATTTATGTACTTCATTCAAATACATTTGTATTTTTATTTATAGCATTCTGATCTGATATCTCACAGGTATTATTGGGTCTTGATTATCTTTTAAAAATTTAAACCAGATACACTATTTTTTTTGGGGGGGGGGTCCGGTGGTGGGGCCTGAACTCTGAGCCTGGGCACTGTCCCTCAGCTCTTCAGCTCAAGGCTAGCGCTCTACTACTTGAGCCACAGTGCCACTTCCAGCTTTTTTCTTTTTGCTTATGTGGTACTGAGGAATCAAACCCAGGGCAAACGCTCTACCACCATGCTACCTTCCCAGCCCCCAGATAAACTATTTTTAATAGTTCATATTTACATTAATTTCAATTAGAAATGCACAACAACTTTTCAAATTTTAATTTATCTTCAATTTCAGGTTAAGATAAATTTTCTTTCATTTAAAATTTTTGCATTTTAGCCAGGTACGGGTGGCTCATGCCTGTAATCCTAGCTACTCAGGAGGCTGAGATCTGAGGATCATGTTTCAAAGCCAGCCCAGGCAGGAAAGTCTGTGAGACTCTTATCTCCAATAAATCACTCAGAAAACCCGAAGTGGTGCTGTGGCTCAAGTGGTAAAGCACTAGCCTTGAGCTGAAGAGCTGAGAGAGCGCTCAGGCCCCATGACCCAACAACAAAAATAAAATTAAAAAATTGCCTTTTAACTTTGGCTTATAATAATCACCTTTGTGCTATGGTGTATTTGTTTAAAAATATTAAATTTATTCCTCTGTTTTCCCACTGTAACATAGAAAACCTGTAGTACTTTCCCAAATCTCAGGAGGTTTCACATATAATAACACTTAGAAAGGACAGTGTATGTTATTAAGTATAAAATGTAGAATATTAAGCCAGGCACTGGTGACTCTTGTCTGTAACCCTAGCTGTTCAGGAGACTGAGATCTGAGGATCACAGTTCAAAGCCATCCCAGGCAGGAAAGTCAATGAGACTCTTATCTCCAGTTAACCACCAGAAAACCAGAAGAAGCATTGTGGCTCAAGTGGTAGAGCACTCACCTTGAGCTGAAGAGCTGAGGGACAGCACCACAACTGACCCCCCCCCAAAAAAAGAATATCAAGGAACAACCAAGGTTAATGATATTTAGAATGTTTGTTTTTGGTCATCTTAGTTCCTCATAGCAACTATGCTTGGATTATTTGCTGCTATTTTGATTCTCCCAGGTAAGTTCCTGAATGGATGCAGAAGTCTAGTATGAATACTAAGTCGTCTAAGTATTTGACTTTGTGCTATAACCTAATTAATTAGGTTACATTAATTATGTACTGTTGTGGAACTACTGCCTTCAACAAACTAAGACACTTTAGCAAGCAGTTGCAATGACAAAATTATCCCCAGATCTTACATGGTAATGACCTAAGGATATCACACATGAAGTGTCTCATTGAAAATTGTGAAATATAAGTTAGGTCGGATGCTAAGATGGAGTAGAGTATAATTTAATGACAAGCAAATTCTTGTTCCTTTAGCTCTTTTATTTCCAGATCCTGTTGGCCAGTGTTCTTTCTGGAACTTGACTGTCTCCTCTTCCACTAGTCTGGTCTTTAGCTCACTTTTGTCCCAGTTGTTTAAGATTTTTAATTTCCATTTCTTCTCTGAGCTTTAGCTGCAATTTAAAAAATTTTTCCCTTGTTTGCTGGCCAAGATCTTCAATTCATACATCCTATCTTGTGGTTTGTGTACTTTTTGACTCCTACTTAATTATCATATTAAGCCCAAAGGAGATTTTTATTTTCAGTAACTGAGAATATGCTGATCAAATGCTTCCTTGTTCTTAGTTCAGTTTATATGCTGATTTTTCAACCCTGTCAGTAACATCTAGACTAAATTAAGCTTTCTTTCCTCTTAAACTCTCCATTCCTTGTATCATAGCTCTTCAACATAATACACATTGCTGCTTGTATTTACAGTGTCTCTAAGAAGCAACCCATCTCTTAGAGAACGGGGTAAAACTATTTTGCTGTACAACCCAGTAATAGAAGCAATGCTGAGATTTTTTTGAAGTTTATTGCTAATTGATCAGTTTTGACTAACATGACATTTATGATGAAATCTATTTTTATAAGCATGTGATGTATATGTTTTAGTGCATCCCCTTTTGGCCAGAAGATGCTTCCAGCAAACTTCTTATTCAAGTTGAAAGGAATACAGGTCCTCCCAAAAGGATATATCTTAACAAGCAAGAAAATTGTATCTTACTGCGTCTGAATAATGAGGTAAATGTTTCTTTTTGCATGTGCTAGAAAAATCTAATATATACTTATTATATTTTGCTTTTTTGTATGAAAAAATTGATGAATTTTTCCCCTTTTACCAAAAAATGAACATTATTTTTATAAAAGGTGTTAACAGAACAATGGACATATGAAAATAATTGTCTTACGTAAATATGTTACATGTATACCTGGAATACTAGAATGTATTACATCTGGAATTTTACTCATCTGTGCATAATAGAGATTTATGATTTCTAAGAAACTACAATACAAAAATAGGCATTTTTAAATCATCCTTCTAAATTAAATTACAAGTTATAAATCGTTTTATTGTTAAATATTATGTTAATATTGGAAAAATAATCAGATTAAAAAATGTTTCCTTCCTTTTTTAGCTTGGAGGTATTATAGCAGAAGTTAATTTGGCTGAGCATTCTACAGTTGTTACATTTTCTGATTATCATGATGGAGCAGCTACATTCCTATTAATAAATCACACCAGAAATGACGTGGTTCAGTACAGACAAAGGTAAGTAGGGTTATCACAAATACTGTAACTTGATTTTAGCAAGGTCTAGGAGATAAGACAGTGCCTTCATAAGGATTCCTCAAAAATATTAATTCTAATAATGGCATTGTAATTACTTAAAACACATTCCATTTTATTTGAATATACAAATGTATCGGGATAAACTGACTTGATATCTATAATTGACTTTTAAATGATTAAAAAATGGAAAGCTAAAGCAGATATGGCAAAAGTATAACTATTATTGCAAGCAATATTTAGAATTTGTTATGAAACTCTAAATTTTTTCTATTTAAAAATTTTTTTACAGTTTTAATCAAAATGTCAAAATTTTAGGTTTTTTAAAAAGTAAATAATAGGATACCCTCTTCTTGCTGAGCTTTGTGGGGGAAGGGACTACTTCCTTAAAGACTGTAGTTGCATCATGATGGTTTATGACTACTCATAATACTCTTCGTTTCAGTTTTCTGTGATGCCGTAACTTCCTACTGCCACTATAGTTTGTGCAACTGTTTGTTCTTCTACATCCATGGTTCCATGTTATCTTGAGTTTATTCTTTGTTTATTTTATTGACTGGTTATTTTACAGCAAGTTCATATTAGTACATTTATACTTTCCTTCTACTGCAAAATGTATGATTTCTAATTTTTTTTTATTTTTTTTATTGTAAAGATACTATACAGAGGGTTACAGTTACATGAGTGAGGTAATGAGTACACTTCCTCTTGAACATTGTTACCCCTCCATTGTTTTCCCCCTACCATCCCCTCCCTCCCTCCCTTCCCCGAAGTTCTTTTTTTTTTTTTTTGATTGTGATTAAGTGATTACATAGTTTCTAAGTCACAAGTTCATTCTAACTTTCCTGGAGCAAATTGTCTATCACAGTCTGTAATATATAACAGTGGTCACATGTTATACACCATACATGTGATCAGCAGCGTGGGGATATTTAGTATGATTTCTAATTTTTAAGTAAAATTCAAGCAAGCATTCAGGCGCACCAGTGGCAAACTCCTTATAATCCTAGCTACTCAAGAGGCTGAGACCCGAGGATCATGGTTCAGAGCCAGTTCAGGCAGAGAAGTCCGTGAGACTCTCCAATTAAACAACAAAAGCCAAAAGAAGAGTTGTGGCTCAAGTAGTAGAGCACCAGCCTTGAGCAAAGCATAGAAGTTCAGGAACAGTACCCACGCCCTGAGTTCAAGCTGGCACCAAAAAAATCAAAAGTTAAGCAAACACTGAGTACGGATCACGGGTGTAAGTTAGCAAAAGTGCCTAGAACTCCTCCTGGTTTCTTGTTTTCACATGTGTTTGAGACTTTTTATTACTATTCATATTATAAAAACAGTGTATTGTGTACTTACACAGTATAAATTGTACTTTTATTGTGTAAGTAGCATATATGTTTATGAAAGTAAATTATAACTAAGAAGTTGTTTTGACTGATACTACAAACATTAACTTATACTGAGTGATCTATAAGCAGTAGAAACTCGGTCCTTGCAGTTTTGGAGTAGGTCAAGATGAAGCAGAGCAGTGACTGATGAAGCTCTGCTCTGCTTCGTAGTTGGCCTCCTCTTGCTGGGTCTCCACATGGCAGAAGGGCTGGACAGCTAGCTACATTCAACCTCTTATATTATGCCACTGATCCCCCTCCTAGAGGACCTATGACTTCATACTGTTACATTAGCAATTACATTTCAGTATAGCACATTCACACTATAGCAGATTGGTTAATTAAAACTGTCAGAGTCAACTAGAAATGATCTTTCATTTGCCTTTCCTCCTCAAGTAGCCTAAACCACTGTTCAGAGAATTAAACCTTACAGAAGATTATTTTGTTACTCTTTTCTCCATTGTGGTGGAACATAGATAGTAAGATATATTTTTTTTGGAAGTAGGATAATTGTCTCCTATAAATAGGCTAGGATAATTAAAATAAATAATTTAAAATATGCTTAGTCCTTTACGTGTTGAAGATATTGTGGGACATTATAGCTTAATTCTCAGGTCTTACTGAGACTAAGGCTGAACTTGGTCTTTTTTTTTTTTTGCTTTTCTTTCCTTTATAGCACAATGCAGAAATCTTATCCACTACGTTGCTATACTTTTTAAGAGGGATGGATAATGTAGATACCAGAATATGATTCTTTGGTGAAATTTTGAGACTTGAAAGAGCATGTAATAGAAATTTATAAAATTAGCAGTCTGGAGGAATTAACACTGATCTTGGATTTAAAATTGAAGTATTTTTTAAAAAAGAACTTTAAAGTGTTGGTTTTAAACACAGTATTGAGCCAGCCACGCACTGGTGGCTCACACCTGTCATCCAAGCTACTTGGGAGGCTGACATTAGGGCCAGCATGGGCAGAAAATCCATGAGACTATTAACCCTAATTAACCACCAAAGAGACAGAAATGAAACATGTCCTTTGTTGAGCAAAGAAAACTAAAGGACTGCTCTCAGGACCTGTATCAGTACTTGCAAAAAAAAGAAAAAAAGAAAGAGTTTGGAGGGTTGTTGCTATTAATTGTACAAAGGGTTTTACTATATTATTTTCATAGCTGGTGCAGTCATTGTACTTTGAACAAGTTCATACCTCCTTTTCGTTTTCATTATGCTTTTATACCTAGGTATATCTACTAGCTTTGATCTTCTTTTTTTTTTTTTTTTTT